GGTACCTTATCCATAAGAAGCATTTCAAAACATATTCTTATGTAGGAATATTATTCTTCAAATGTGATCCAACTAATGGACACTTACTTGGTGTCTCCAGAAACTCATGAATTGATTTTTTAATACCTTTGTCTAACAACTGAGAAGATTCACCAGCGCCCGGCCATCGTCCCCCAATCGCCGATCAGGTAACAGAGGCAGGACCATATTCAGGCGAGTAACTTAATAATCTTTTTATTTTTTAGTAAAAGCGGCAGGTAATAAAAAAAGTTGTTCAAAATGCTCACTTATGATTGAAAAAAAAACAAATTTGTTAAACTAGAGAGTACCTAACAAGGTAACCCTACTTTCAAAAGTTGGTAAGGGGTAGGGGACGTAACGCAATAAAAAACTAAATAACTATTTTGGTCTGTACTATTCCAAATCGAAATCTCAAATATCCATTTTCAAAATGTTTTGAATGTTTTTTATTTTGTGGTAGGGGACAGCATTTCAATCAAATATCTGTTAAACATTTTCCTTGGAATAACAAAAGGGAATTTTTGTACACTATTTCAAAATTCAAATTACCAGCCTACCCTTATACATCAATCACACACTACTTTTACTTCAATAACAGGCGATTGTATGTGTCATCACTAACGACGTTAGGTATTTTTTGTTATATGTATGTATTTGACGAAATAGTAAACAAGCACGTTCATGCAAAAAACAAACAAGCCAGGTTATATACTATACTGCTCTAAAAAATATCTAAATAAAACAAAAAATAAAAAATATAAATCGATTTATTACTTCATATACATGCGTCATGCAACAACAAGTACATGTAGGTATTAGAAACATTTCAATTTTCGTATGTCAATGTTCAAAAATTGGAAAATTAGTACGTTTGAGATCAGCAAAAAGTCATTATTAATTTTTTTTATTTGGTTGATAGTTAATTTTAAAAGCTAAGGTTTGGAATTAAATATAATACATCCAGTATGGATTTTCATTTCACTGGTCTTTTATTAAAAATTTTTGAACATTGCCGGAAAAATGTGCTAACTACGTTACCTATATATACATTCATCAAAAATAATATATTTTGTTCCAAAGGATTATGTAACTTTAAATTTTTTTCTTACAAAAAAATATATAGAAATGTTTTATGCTCATACATTTGTTTAAAATTTAATTCAATAGAATTAATAAATATATTTAAAATGTACATAATATATATATAAAAAAAAACAAAGTTATGTATACTATACATGAAAAGCGGCAAAAATGCAATTTTGTGCTTATTTTAACTAGTGACCGATATAAAAAAAAACCTTGGGTCTCCAAAATATTACACAGGGTGGAACAAAAGTCTGGAAACGCCTAATTATTTCGTAAATATTCGAACAAAATTTGGGATAACCCTATTTTGGGATACGGTGATTCCAGATTTGACATTTGCAATGTTGTCAGACTCACTGTTCTTCAAATATTATTGGCCGCTTTAGTTTTTAAATATGTCACCCTGTATGTTGCGTTATTTTTGGAATCTCTCTTTCAATACGAGTTCAGCCATGCCATATGGAACACTTGAGATTTTATGAAGGTCTTATATTAATAAAAGTTTGGGAACCATCTAGAGAAGCAATAATTTACCTTGCAGAACCATTCAAAACATGTCAAACTACTATCAGTTTTAGTTAATAATGTAACTAGTGAGCTAATGTGAAAAATACAGTATTTTAGATTTAATTGAATAAGTTCGGGGTGCGAAATGCATAGTCAACTTTTCTAATTATTACCCTAATCCGAGAACAACCACAGAGAAGCGACAAAGCCGTTCTCGCAAAAAAATGGAGTGGGGGTTAACCCGGCCAACTGTCATTTCAATTTCAACACGCTTGCCACATAGATAACTTGCCAGTTTAACTAGTTTAGTCGTGAATCTGGCTATTTGCCAATTCGTTTTGTTTGAGTTAAAAATATATTTAATTTTTATAAAAATGTGTTTTACTTGCTATTTAAAAGACTAACAATTCACCTTTCCAGTTATTCGACAATTACACATGCTCTAAAAAAGCGCGGGACTTTTGAATCTAATAATTTTCCATATAACCTATTGGGTTGGCTACGACGATTTCCCTCTGTCATCGTTACTTTAAACAACTGTTATCTAGTCTACGCGTATATAGTAGGACTGCAGTGGCGGCTCGTGGGGTGGTTCACAGTGACAGAATATAGGTATCAGTACAGATATATGAAAAAAATTTCAGTGTTTTAGAAAGTTTATAATATACCTTTCTAAAATACTGACAGTTTTTTTACCTATATCTGTACCGGAATCTATATTCTGCTACTGTGAACCCCCAAAATTTTGGTCACGAGCCGCCCCTGAGTAGGAGAGTCAATTACTTTTTTGGTACACATTTGCACAAGTCATTATCTAAACAGGCTTTTTTAAGATGTCCTCATCGAGGACTCCATCGCTGTAGGCACTAACAAAGTATTTCCATGTTCTACAAGGTAAGAATGAACGAAATATTTGTAATTTTACCTTGCACAAAGTGTCACTGGCTCCCCTACCAATAATAAAAGTTAAAAATTACATTTACGGATGTGTAATTGGAACTTAAAAATAAATCTTTAATTTTAACAGGAAGTAGGATTTGCACATGAGTAATAGATATCATTAATAACGGTAAAGGTCTATTAGCATGTTTTTTGTTTTTAGAAAAACCCAATTAAAAGTTTTAACATGACAAACTACTGTAATAAAAAGAAATATTACATAAATTTTATAATAATAATACTCTCCCTAATTCACCCCCTTACGAGTGAATTTTAACCCCAAAAGCTGAGCTTATGCGGGGAAAGGGACGGCTATTATTATTATTTGCCGTGGCGACTTAAAGATGATTGATGGTGCCATTTGACTTACAGGTGAGGAAAACCCGAAAAAACCTCACCCACCATCATCGAGACGGTAATGTACGGCGATTTTTTATAATCTGCATGTCATATCAACAGAAATTGAATTTCTATTAATACGGCACACATCAAATCCTATTCCGAACCATGCAATTTAATTAAAAATCCACATGGTCTGGTCTGGGATTCGAAGCCCAGCAGTCTCTGACACAAACTTGCTTATAAATGAATATAAGCGCGTTAGACCGCTACACCACCGACCCGATATACACGATAAGTAAGGTAATAGTAGTTTACGTTATAAGCCCGTTACCTAGATCTTTACATTCGATCACGATCGTTAATGTGCGAGCGTTAGCGAGCACGTAGAGATCAGGTAACGGGCGTGTATCGTACAAAGTATGATATACGTATAATATACTGCAATTTACTACGTTTTACAACCTAAAATCAAATAAAATTTTAACATTTGACACACCGTTATAAGTTTCCGAATGTGACTTAAAATAACGACAGTTCAGTTACAACTGACAGTTCAGTCATAACTGTTGTTAAAATTTTTATCAGGCTAGCCCGTTATGACTCCCTTCACAACAATGGATGTACATGATGTACATGATCACAACACTAGATTTGCCACAAATTTTAGAAATAAACGATATCGTTTAACTAAATCTCAAAAAAATTCACTAAATTTAAATTTCTACAACACATTACCAGACGAATTTAAAAAAATGTCTTTAAATAAGTTTAAAAAATCTCTTAAACAGTTTATGCTGCGATTTTGTTTTTACTCTGTTAATGAATACATAGAACATTTCATTTAAAGCACATTGCTTGCATTGGCTTTAAATTCATTACTTAAATTAACGATTTAAACTCTACTTAAATTGGTACTATGATCCTGTTGGAACCAGCGTTGAGGGACATGGAACATGCTCACTGCCTTATTCTATTTTAATTTTTATTGATGTAAATGTTTTCCTTTTTCTTAGATTTTACTAATTTTATTTTGTAATTGACCATTGTTATTTTATATTTGAAGTTGTGAGCTCGTAATTGTATTGTATTTAATTTAATTGTATTAATATTTTAAATTTTCTGTTATACCTTGCTGCCTATTGAGGTACGTTCAGCTGTAACCTTTTAACTTTTCTTTTTGTTGTCATGACTTGCTACAAACTTGTGAATCAAATGTAATGTAGTCAAATAAAATTTACTTTACTTTACAATATACAGAGGTTGGTTGCCACGGTATAACATTGAAGTATATCATAAAATATTATTTTCAATTTCAACATAATATTTGTTTGTGTATAGCATTTATTACGCTCCATTAATTATTTTCTAGGTGTATTATACCGGCCATCAGTCTCATAAGTCAACTTCAAGGTCACAAAATTATACTCTCCGAACTCCAAAGGACCAGCAGTTATTGCCGCTTCTCTGTGGTTGTTATTCTCGGCCCTGACTACACCAAATCTCAGATGTTGAACTCGTATTGAAGGGGATATTCCAATAATGTCAAAACATACAAGGTGTAGTATTTAAAAAAACAAAGTGACTAATATCAGAAAAACGGCCATACTGGCAACATTGCAAAACTGAATCACACTAGTAATGCTTTAACAAATTTAATTAAAGAAATAAATTATGTTAGCATACTTCACATCCACTGTTTTCGGTGGTGTTAAAACGGAGCTATTAAGTGATCAAAAATGAAAGTAAAACCTCAAGATGTAGAGAACTGGACATGACAAAAGTGAAAATAATTGAACTATGTTACAGTTGCCATATAGTAACATTAACAAAGTGTCAAGAAAGAACGATTAGAAAAAAACAAGAGATAGAATTTGGAATTAAAGCAGACTGTTCAAGAATATTAAACATAATATTCTAGGAAGGAAATACCCAATTTAGAAACCATGTGACTGGAAAAGTGTTTTCTACTGAGCTAACTCGCTACAAATTTATCTAAATTTTGAAAAACAAAATTGATAAACGGGCTCCCAACCCCACTATGATGAGCGTTCAAAAATGACCCAACTCAATTCACTTTGTTTGAAAACCCAAGGTTTCTTGAATATACAAGTTTTATTTCACCTAATGATAAATGATTACCTCAGAACTATTAGATAGGGATACGAGAAAAAAGACCAAGATGAATATTCCACGTGTGCAAATATTTAAAAATTTTAAGGCAACCAATTTTCTTTAAAGTATTTTATCTGCTTTTATATTTTATCACTAGTGTAATTATTATTTTACATTTTGAAAGCTAAGTAAGTAATGAAACGGCGATCACAAGGTTAGTTATATTGACATAAATATCACGTTTTGTTGTGATATCTCGTTTAACTTAACCCTTACTTTTCCTCTCTCTGGATCACAACATCAATATTTTTAAATATCAGTAATTAAGAAACAGTACGTGAAATACCGCCCAACTCTATTAGACGTTGAAACCAAATTATGATCACTTGGATCTCTCTTTTCAAAAACATTAAAGTATCCAGGTCTTTTCTTCTTAACCCACTATCGAAGCGATCGTTTATCATTATTAGAAACAAAGCTGCGTTACTGAAAATAAAATAAAATTAAAAAAAAAAAAACGAAAAATGAATCACATTCTACATAACATCCACAAACATTTCGCATGGGTTTCCCATAGCGATCTTAAAAGATTGTCTACTACCGGCAATATCTTTCGACTGGGTATTGGCGACTTGTGTACCGCTACTCTGCTCCGAGCCGTTCGAACTGCCGTTGCCGTTTCCGCTGGGTTTAGGCATGGCCGAAGAACGAGGACCCAAAGAGGTTATGTCGCTGTCTGAAGCGCTGCTTTGACCGGCCACGCTGTCTTTGAGACGTTCTGAGCCTCCTGATGAGCCACCTTTAACAAGAAAATTAAAAAAATGTTAATTGACTATACCTACATTTTCTATTTATACAGTGTGTCTACCTAAGTCGGCACCATATGGGAAACTTTTGTATTATTAGTTTTACGCAAAAAAGTTATCCTTCATAATAAGTTCTGCATGGTCTAAAACCCAAAATACCATCCGATATCAATTTTTTCAGTTATGCACAAGGTTTGTCAAAAAATATAAATTTTATGCAAGAAAAAATACCTTCATTTTTAACATTTATCGAAAATTGTTATTAAGAAAACTTGAGCAGTATTGAAAACTATGGTCAAATATCCAATATTATCCATCTACTATCCAATATTATTCCATCTATCCATGACAAAAAAAAAAACGATCTTTAACACTGTTTGGCATAAATACAAATTACATTTAATTTTGGAAATAATAATTTTCATGGTAGATGGATAATATTGGATAAATGGCCGTAGTTTTCAATTCTGAACAACTTTTCTTAATATGGTAAAAATAAAGGTACTACTTTAGTCTTGCATTAAATTCATAATTAATTTCGACAAACCTCGCGTACATAACTGAAAAAATTTGACATAATGATGGTTGTATTTTAATTCTTAGACCATCCAGAACTTTTAATGAAGAATAACTTTTTTTTCATAAAACTAATAATAAAAAAGTTTTCACACTGGAGATCAACTATTATTAGTCTTTCTATAATCTTTGGTCCTGACGAGAAATAAGCTATGCTGCAAATAACGAGAGCAAATTGATACAAAATACAGCATGTCTCAAAAAGTTGTCAAAATATATTCCATTTACAAAAAAAAAACATTCTTCATAAAAAGTTATGCATCACATAGAAATCAATAATCAAGAATTATATTTGTAAAATATACAGGGAAGTTCGAAAATATTGATTTATACTGAAGAGTAAAGTGTTTTTAAATTTACTTACAGAACAAAATGTTATTTAATAATAATTCCCTAATTCACCCTCTTACGAGTGAATGTTAACCCCAAAAGCTGAGCTTGTCCGGGGAAGGGACGGATATTATTTGTGGTGGCGCTCCGGGGTGACTTAAATATGATTAAGGGTACCTTGACTTACAGATGAGGAAAATACGAAAAACCCCACTCACCATTTGAAAATGTTGATAGGAATTGTAACCTACCGCATCCAGGTACCTTAATAATTTATTAATTCCATTTATTAAATACAATATTGCATTCTTATTAAATTTAAAATCCTTCATTTAACGAAAAATCTCGCTTATCTTGCTAGTTTCGATGTTAAGACCGATTTAGACAATATTTTGATACACAAAGCTTTCAAGGCAAGTAATAAATAAGCCACTCCCAAAACCCAGTGTATTTCGATGAGAACTAAAGATATAGAGACGTCACAAAAGCCATTAAAACTTTATTATAAAAACCCAGACCCACATGATCTCGGATTCATTCATTTTAATCATTCGAGGGGCATTTATTCATTTTCAATTATTTGATGTGCATGCATTAATTTTTATTATTTGATGTGCAAGCATTCATTTATTATTTGTATCCAGTTATATTTCAAGTTCAGTAATCAGTACCTTTCCTAAAACGCTCTTCCTAAACGACGTCTATCCTACAGTACCTCCTATCCCCGAAGGTGTCAACGTCTCGACGCCCAACGTCCTGCCGTCCTATTCCCTACGTCTCGAACACTGTCACATTCCTCACCATCTAAGTATTTCCTACCGTACACTCATTTCAACGCTCAACATCCCTCGCCTTATTTCCGACGCTTGCCGTCCCTCAATATTTCCTTCATAATATCACGTCCCGCACCACCTACATAATTCTACCGTATATCTGTCCCAATACAGTACCGTATTAAATACCTTCCTCTCCACCACGACGCTAGTCGCCTCGACGCTCAACGCTGCGACGTACCTAAATCGATGCCGTCACAACGCTAGATGAAATTAGTACATAATCTAATGTCTGTATTTTCGATGGTGAGTCAAAAGATTTATGTAATTTTCTTTGAGATACCACCGGGATTTCGTTTGGACGAGGGCTTTTGACATTTGCTACAAAATATTATCAATTTAACCAATAAACCACATGGCCTTCAGGTCATACACCCCGAAAGACAGTAAGGATAGACATCTGTTTTCGATTGGTGAAAAATTTGAGTATTTTAACAGAAATTATAAAAATCAATATTTTAGAAATATACAGGGATGTGCTATCTTGGATAAATTATACAAACCAAGATGGTAAAGTTTAATAATAAGTTAACCAACTGGAGAATACGCTGTTCGTTAGCTCAAGGGGGGACACCTATACGCTAAGCAAGCCGTTCTACTAGGTTTGAAACAAAGTATATGTGAAATCAACATAGTAAGGTAATTAACTGGCGAATAGGCGCTGTTCGTTACTTCCGTTGGTCATCACCTCTATACTCATCGAAATATTTATCTAAGAGGGTGCAACCTGTATATATCTAGAATAGAATCAAATCAACATCAACTCAATAGTTAACCAACCGGCGAATTGGCGCTGTTCGTTAACTTCGATGGTCATCAACTTAAATAAGAATATAAACAACAACACAGTAGTTAATCAACTGGCGAATTGACGCTGTTCGTTAACTCCGTTGGTCATCAACCTAAATAAAATATATATTTGAACGGGACTCAAGTGAGATCTCAGTAAATAGTAACAATTGTAATATACTTTGCTAATTATTGCATCACATTTAAAGTATGAAAAATAAAAAGAGTTTAAATATAAATTTGTATGTTTTATTTATCAATTTGCATCAAACTTTGCATCGAATCCTGGTTTACCTTAATTAACATTATCACAACGTGGGTATATAAATTATCAATTAATTAACTAGACGATCACTTTTACTACTAGAGGAAAAAGGCCAAATACAGTAAGTATAGAATTTAAAGTAAAATAAACTTGTGAGGTAAATAATAACATTCAAAGAGTAAAATAACGAACAAATCAAACAAAAAGGGGGGACAGGGGTAGGCCGTCACAGAATTAAAAATGATATGCAAGTTGAGATTTATGGCCTTTCTAAATTCATCTAAAGTAAAAAAAAATATATATATTTTCCCTGTATACCACTAAGTATTTGAACTTTTCATGAAGAATATTTTTTTTTTGTAAAATTAATAAGAAATAAATTTCCAATTTGTTGTCAACTTTTTCAGGCATACTGTATATTTATTCTAGACTTTTCGTGACTTTTAAAATTTATTAAATTTTATTGACACCTGTTCATGGCAATTGACGCAAAATTCCTTAAAAATAAACCCAACAAGTATCAGTTACATCCTTAGGTGCACAAAAACCACAATCAAAATTTGTATCGGAACACTCTAGAATAACAATAAACATCAATCGATTATTGTAGCCTGGTGTTATCAATTCCGATTTAATGGATCTTTTTCAGGTGTTCGTGGGACTTTCTTTTGTCAATGATATTATTTATAGGCTTTTAGGGGTGTTCTGATTCAAATTTTTGTACACAATTTGAAACAATATGAGTATGCAAAATTGTATTCGAACCGAAATATTTTTAATACCATTATTTTCGTATGCAAATTATAAAATATTACTATATATATCATTACTAGCTATCGAGAAAAATAATAATTGGAGTTGGCTATGAAATTTAAATGTTTTGTTATAGTTCCATCAAGAAAGTGAATAAAAACAGTCAATAGCGATCAGCGCCAATACTATAGCGGAAATGATGATGCGAGGACCCTCCATGAGGGGGGTTCTGACCCTCAAACCCCCTGTGGCTATGCCACTGCCCGGTGCGTAGACTGAAACGGTGGCCTCATCACGGTTGCTAAGGACTCAGTGACGTCACAGAATGAAAAAGTGAGTTGACAGAAAATATTCTGAAGTCGTACATTAGGTTTTTAAAAAATCTAATATTTTATTGTTATTCGGTGGTGTTTATGTTTTTATTTTTGAACTATATAGTTTGATTTTTTGAAAGACAAACTAAAAAACGGAAAATCATGTAATGATTTCTATCAAATTTCGAATGCATTACTTTTTATTTGAATTATAAAGAGAACTGTGTGAATGGTTTATTCTAAACATTTTGGGTTAGGGTACGGTATCCGAGCCGAATTCGGAGCACACTTTGTTTATATCCTGAAATATTTTGAAATTTTGGCAAGCCTGGAGTGAGTTGCAGTTGGCAAACAATTTTATGCACAAAAAATCATTAGAATAAAGAAACAGAGCATAAACTGCAATTAAAGGCTAATGATTAGATTTTAGAGTATTATTCTGCAGATATCATTCACTATTATTAAATTAATTGTAGCTTTGTCCACCCTATATTTAAAAGCAGATGAGATGGTTTTTTACAAGCATTAAACGTCAAAGGCTTTACTAAAAGAACCTACATTATTGAAAAAAAGAGTTGGCTACAGGAAGTTTGTAGTAAAAAATAGTTACAAATAATTTTATAGAAGAGAACAAGAGCCTGTTGGACGTCAGAAGAAACATACAATGTATATTTATATTGGAAAATAATAAAATATATTTTGTCAGTCTTTAGTTATTTGATGTGTATGAACAGTATAATGTACTTAAACAAAAAACAATAAAACAACCCAGTTTATTTATTATATAATCTATAAATAGGTACTCAATTACAGAAAAAAACATTTTTATTATCTGTGGTTATATAAATTAAAAAGGATACCTAACTAAATAAAATAGTGGTTAATATAACACATATTTATGCAGTTGATAATCACTATTATTAAAAATACTGTTAAAATAATTACACATACAATAGGCGGAGGAGATTTAACATTACAAATACTTGGGAGTATTTATAAAACGTAATTATGGGGCCCAACCACTTCATATTCCTTCTGGTAAAATTCGGACATTAAACAAACTGTTTTCAGTTTTCAACATTCTAGAAATACGTATTACTAGCACATCATCCAAAAGACCACATCTTAGATTT